CGTCAAAGAGCCTCTGTAAAATCATCTTTCTTAGCTGTGATTTAATCAGAAAAGTTGACTGAACTCATTCTCAATTACTGGAGCTGTGTAGGAGAAGGAATCCTTTGAGCCCATGCTTACACAACATGCACATGAACTAATTTGTACTCTTCAGACTGCTGCTGCTTATTACTCTACAGAGCATATAGAAACATTTTGACAACATGCTGTGGGGGTTTTAACAGTGTTCAGCTCAACTTTCCAGCAAGGGTAAAAAGGTTTTACGCATTTTTCTTAACGGCGCACTGACCCTGCAGTGCTTTAAGAAAACTTAATTTTACTGATTGAGGCAAACCGGCTTATGTTACATTAGACCTTTTCGTACTTGTTAAATAATTATGGCGATATGATCCTGCGATTATTCCTGATCAAGCCAACAGAAAGGTCCCGTCTGTGGGTGCTGTTCATTTCAGAAATAATAAACAAACAGAAGCAGACGGAGACAGAGCGCCACAGTGACCCATTCATTAGTGAAGCTGACCCTGCAGGGACAAGGAAGCTGTTCATTAAATAGACACTCGAGGCGCAGTCAGAGATCACGCTTCCACCCCGGCAGAGAGGGTATCTCATTCCACATAAATTGTTCAAAGTGTGCCTTTAGGGGACTCGAGTGCTGGGAGACCTGTTGAGGGCTCCACGGGGGCCCCAAATATAACAAAGGATAGATCACTTTATTATTGAGTTAGCTAAAAGTGCCAGCAGAACTTTACTTTTCCTTATAGAAAATGTTTTAATTCTTTGTTAATTCTCCATCAGTTTCCTGGTTTTACTGCATGTGAAAGTCAACACATAAATTGCCATACACACCAACCTAGACAAAATATACAATATAGAAATGTTAGTTATTTATTTCCACAAATGAGTAAGAAATAGCAACTTTTTTCGGGTATGCTTTTTTTTTTTTTTTTGTCGAACAAAAAGTGGGATTTGTTTTGCTTTAATTTCTAATGTTTTACACATCCCAGGATAAATACTGTAAACCAACATACATTAGTGTGACTATAAGTGCATGGTATTGAATATTAGACTGCAAATGAGTTTCTTTATCCCATTCATTGTCTCAAAGAGGCTTTATGGTCATTATGCAAATGCATTAAATTGAGAGCAGGAAGAGCGTAACGACCTAAATCAGCAATGCTTCTGATGACTTTTATATAAAAAAACCACCAAAAACCAATCTTTTTGGTTTTCAAAATGATATTCTCTTATTACAACTACAGAGTCAAACGTATCATACAGAATGAAGCAAAATAATACAAATGTTGGTGTTGGCTATGGCAAAACTGAAGTTAAAGAAAGAGAAGTTTTATTTTCTGATTGCACCTAAATTACAACTATGAGCACATCTCTGGATGGCCAACATATTGCAGCACAATCCAGCGCATTGTGTCTTGGCCATCTTGTTCTTTAAGAGAAGACAGGGTTTATAATTTGTATTTGTCAACACATAATATAGCTTTGCTCTTCATTCCTGTACCGTGTTTTCAACCGTCTAACCCCTGTATTTCCTTTGCAACTTGTCACTGTATTCTCAGTGTTTAGCTGTGATGCTCGTCTTTACAATGCAATGAAGCAAGACAGCACAAACACAAGGTCTCTGACAGAGAGCGTTACATGTTCCTCTATACATTTACTCTATACATGCTGCATTTCTTTGTCAATATATATGTTTTCTTAATGCTCTCAGTTCTGAAAATGTGCTCCCTGTATTGCATTCGTTCTCATAAATCTACATTTTGAATGTCAAGTCTGCAGAGGTCAATCTAAATGCACAGTCAGCTAAAAGAATAAACAGACAGAGAAAGAATAGTTTCGTTGCCAAATGATAAAACACATTTACATATAGATTGAACATGCCCTGAGCTCTATGCATGCAGGACTAGTAAAACTGCATCATCATCAAAATCAACTCAACTTTCACAATGTCAATCGGTTCGATAGCATTTCCTACACTTTCAAAATCAAGAGTTCATTATACAAAAACATTTTTAGGAGACCTGATGTAGAGTAGAGTGACTAGATGCTAATTCGGTAAACTTTCTGGTAAACAAGTGATAAATGGAGGTGAAACACAGTTTGTTTGCAGAGTGTCAAATGGTGCTGCCAGGCTGCATGCAATATTTAAAAGTTAGCTGTAGGCTACCAGGGCTTCGCATTGAGTTGGAGAAGAAAGAGCGAGTTTCAGTGTTAGGCAAACATGGTAACAGCTGCAATGCTCTGAGAAAACAAAACATGTCATGTATGATAAAAGGGAATGAGGCTCAGAGTAAACAAGACTCTTACTGTGCATACTTAGACCAGGCATCTTGAATATGGCGGAGTTTTGTGATCCTTATATCTCTGTTTCACATTCTGGGCTGGAGGAGGGTTGAGTTGGAGAGATGTGCCAGAGAATCAACATGGAGGAGATAACATTTGGTATGGATTAGATTTTGGGGTGGAGATGTTTTTATTTTGGTACCAGAAAACAAAATTATTCTGTGTTTTAGATTCTAGATCAATCTCAATCTCAATCTTTATTTATAGCACATTTAAAACAATTTCAGTTGACCAAAGTGCTGTACAGGTAATACATACAATATAAAATAACACAATGGGAATCAAATAATAAAACAATAATTTAAAAAATCAAAAGCACAATAACTAGAAAAATATAAAAACACAAACAAATGTAAAAATGTACTATAAAAAAAAAAAAATGAGATCAGCTATTCTTCACTGCATTTTCTTCCTTAGCCTCGCTATCAGCTATAAAGATATCATTCAGTTTGTATTGTGAAAACGACCAAGACTCCTTTTTCCTTTATTGGATTAAAACAAATGCCACATAGATGTTATGGACTCAAACAAACACCCAGAGGATTTGTCTGGGGAATACTAATGTATTTTATGCCTCGTCCTTACATTCAGAGCTTCTAGCATGATGCGATGTGGAAGTAGATGCTCAGCAAATATACAGAATAAATCACTTGAAAATTGGACATTGATGGAGTGTGTTGATAAAGTGAGGAATAAACCGAACATTTCGAATATGCTTTGAGGCTTCTGTGATTACGGAGTCATGTTGACTGAAGACGGATCCTGTCAGCTGTATCAGCCGCTGAGATGAGAGAAAAGGCAACAAGCGGCCTCATCAGAGGCAATCACTGCCGGAAATCCGCTCCTGATTTTCCACCAGGCGTGATTTTTAACTCTGCATGGATGTAGGTCAACATAAGCTGCCCTCACACCGACTGCCCGTTGCCCACGAAAGATCCAATTAGCCCCGGGGCCACATCCTAATATATCAATTACCTGAGAGGTTAATGTGAGGCGAAACGCCCAATTACTTTGATTTCTCCTCACTAGTATCGATAGCAATTTAAGACACAGTGATAGTACAAACCTGCTTTAATTAGTGTTTCTCAACTTGCTTGCACCAGCTGAGACTGACTGTGTTTAGTGGATCTGTACACATTTGGTGGAGTTGTTGAAGTTTACAGCTGCAGGACATACAGTATGAGATGCATTCACAATAATAGCTCACTCGTGTTCTTCGTAGTGAAGGAACATTATGACTCATCAAAGTGTTTTTATAATAACTTAAATCTTTAACGTCACCACCACCGAGCTACAGGTGTTGCTACAGGTACAGGTACAGCTACAGCTTTTTTTATTGAAACTCTCATGTCTGAATCAGCATACCTTTATTCGTCCCACAGAGGGGACATTTGCATTTGTTACAGCAAGAAAAGAGCCAAAGACAGCTTCATTTTAATCACGAAACATGCATACAAAATATTAAAGATACAAAAATTACACAATTTACAAAATACACATCCTGTACATAATCCATGTAGTTGCTTGTTATCAAGAGCTTTTTTTAGGGAGCTACAGTAAAAGCTTTGCAAAGCCTGAGTGGATTGCAGTAGTAAGAATAGTTTGTATTGTATGTCATAGTTCAAATATTAATTGCCCAAAAACATGTTTAAAAAAAGGAAAACATCGAAATAAAACATTTACTTTGAGACGAGGAAACAGGAAGTGCAAAAACGTTGACTCATTCGTCAGGTTTTAGGACGTATTCCTGCAAAGCTCAGACTTCCTCTTCATTGCCCCCGTCCTGTTCTAGGACTTTCTGCTGGATTTCTACGGCAATAGTACCCAAAGAGAGGGTACAGGGAGCCATTGCAGAGACTTGTTTACAGACACATTGATGTTTGCGGCAATTCCTGCTGGTTGCCAATTGAGTTTGATAAATGCCACAGATTACTCCCAGCCCCTGCAAATATGCTTTCAAACACTTTCCTTTGATCACTACTAATCTCCACTGTCGCACATTGTATTTGCATTGCACAATTACCCCTCCCCTGTAGCGCCCAGACTGTTTCTGTTTCTACTATGCACCAATAATTGACCCATGTGTAATGCAAAACAAGGTGACACATATTTTTGTATTGAATATGATGTATTAGTTGCACTCATACATGATGTGCTCCGCGCTGCCAACGGCTTTTCAACATATTTTCCATCAAGGTCTGCATTAGGGAGTTGTCTGTGAATGTACTGTGTCATCCTTGAACATGCATTATATGCGTTTTCCTCATTTGACAAGCTAGAGTAAAGTGTCTCAGTCTCTCTTTAGCATTCGGAAGGTTTGAAGTGTTCGACTAATTCATGCTTGCATAATGTGGTTTTCGGTTTTAAAGCCACACAAGAGTTTTTGAGTTGTTTGTAAATTGGGGTCTTCAAATCAATCATGTAGAATTATGTCTTTAAATATTTTATTTCTACGAATCCATAAGCAACAAGTAAACCTGATGCAATCTCTCAATCCCTTTACATTCGGGAGCTTTATTAGTAAAACAAATAAATAATATAATTCCCCTATTTCTGAGCTGTTTTTTAAATGATGTTGTTTATATGATTAGCATTTTTCCACATTTCATATTGTAATTTGAGCCTCTTCATGTGCTTCACAGGTCCATGGGGCCGATGCATGGGCAGCGACTGTGGCCCCGGCGGCAGCCAGAGCCGAGCGGTGTGGTGCGCCCATGTGGACGGCTGGACCACGCTCCACACCAACTGTGACCAGGGCCAGCGCCCGTCCAACCAGCGGAACTGTTTCCGTGTGTGTGACTGGCACAAGGACCTTTATGACTGGCAACTGGGTGCCTGGAATGTGTGTGTGCCAGTTTCAGCAAGGACCTTATGGGCCTCGCGGCCGTTCACATGTAGTGGAGCCGAAGAGGGCATTCAGACCCGGGAGGTGGGCTGCATTCTCAAATCAGAGGAGTCTCCAGCAGAGGATTCCATCTGTGAATACTTTGAGCCCAAACCTCGCCTGGAGCAGGCCTGTTTAATCCCTTGCCCTCAGGATTGTGTGGCTTCTGAGTACTCGCCATGGACGCCCTGCTCCAAAACATGTGGAACAGGCCTCAAGACCAGGGTCCGCAGTGTCCTGGTCCCTCCACTTTTTGGAGGCTCACTTTGTCCCAACCTTACTGAGTTTAAGTCTTGTAAACCAGGGCCTTGCACAGGTCCAGAGGGCATGTACAGTCTCAGGATTGGACCCTGGAACCCCTGTGTCCTCCCTGTGATTCGGACAGAACGCCAGGTTAAGCGCAGGAAAGGTAAAGATCAGGGGGTCAGGGAGAGAGCTGGAGTCAAAGATCCAGAGACCAGAGAGCTCATCCAGAAGAAACGAACCAGGAACCGCCTTAACCGGCAAGAGAGTCCGTTCTGGGACATCCAGGTGGGCTACCAGACTCGGGACGTGACCTGCATTCATCGGAACGGGAGCATCGGTGCACGCAAGTAAGTGGCAAAAATGTTATGTCAGTGTGACGGTGGAGTTTAATTTTTTCCCCTTAGTACCATTACAGTATATGCCCCTTTGAATTGGTTGTTTAACCCTTGTGTGGTGTTCACATTGTTGTTACTCAGCAGTGTTCGTGGGTCTGGTGGACCCGCTGCCTTTTTGGGCTTCAATTCAACTCAATCAAACTATTTTACGTTAAAATACTCAACAGATGATTACTTAATCTCAATCACAAGCAATATAAACAGCATATATGGTTCATGTTTGCCCTTTTACATTTGTTAGATCACATTAATGAATTAAAGTGCTACTTGTTTTTTTCCCCGCTGACCGGCTGGTCCTGTGGATCGTCTTTTTTCTGTAACTAACTGATGCTCAATCTCATCCTCTTTTTCAATCTCATCCTCTTCTTCAAAGTCACTGTCAGACTCAGAATTCTCAGAAATGTGATCTTCACATTCTGAAACCTCTTCCTCTACATCACACGTGTCAAACTCAAGGCCCGGGGGCCAAATCAGGCCCTTGGTGGATTTAATTTCGGCCCGCATGATAATTTTTAATTCCTATTAGATCTGGCCCGCCGGTATATTGCACGCACACCTTCATTC